CGCAACTTATTTATTTGTTGTTTCAGGCTTTGGCAAATTTTATGTCAAAAGTGAGAGGTGGTAATGTAAGATTTGATCCAAACAGAATAGTGATGAGTGGAGGGGCTACAGGTGCAAATGAAGTAATCATGTTTTGCTTGGCTGATCCTGGAGATGCTTTTCTTGTTCCTACTCCTTACTATCCAGCGTATGTACCCTCTCTTTCTTAATATTTGTGTTCATTCAATGTATGTCACTGTTTCACATACCCATAAAATGTTCAAAGTTGGTAAACAAAAAGGGTACATACATAAAGTGTTATAGCTATATGTTTTGTTTTGATGGTTAAATGGTGAATTCCAATGTATTTACATGGAAAAAACAATTATAGAAAAATAAAGAGGGATCACTATCCTCATTATCGTCCCAAAATCTTATTCCAATCTAATGAAAAATGTTATTTCATTACAAAGAAAAATTTTAAAATACAAAATAATATTTTTATATTACTTGAAGAAAATTGATTGGTTTTGAACATAAGAACATTATTATTTCGGGACACTTGATACCCACTCTAGAAATTGGCTTAAAAAAGGGTGGTTTGGCATTATTTTTATTATGACATCTCTCATTCCTTAGTGTTTAGAGAATTAGTAGAATTATGAAACATAAAGTGTAACTTCATGTATTCAAACCCTAATAGATAAACTTTGTCATGTCTCCCCTATAAAAATATTTAATAGTCTTTAAAAGATGAAAAATGATATAATTTTGATGTTTTATCAATAAAAAAAATCAACTTATCAATTATTATTCATGTATAGTTGACATGAATATATTTATCCACAAATATGTTGTTGTAATGGAAAATCATACTATAGTCACAAAAGAAAACTTCATCATCCATTATTTATATTTAATTATTATTGACTTTTAAATATATATAAACAAATAAATAGTGATGGTATACCGATTATGAATAATAATGCTGACATTAATCTCACGACCCATGTATGCATAAAACTAAAATGATTTTGATGTCAATATCTCTCCCAAAGTAAATTAATGTCAAAAAAAACATCTAAAGACTAAAACCAATCCTGAATATTTCTCCACTAAGAAAAGTACTTCAAAGATGTTACGAAAATAAAGTTGTGTGTGTATATGTTGTTTCTATTATATAACGTGGAATTAGCTGGTTGTAAGATTGAGTTATCTAAGATACTACTTTTTAATTTTTAATTTAAGAGATGAAATCTATGTGACATGGTAGTGAAAGATTTATGTTGCAAAATCTAATTAAAATAATTGACACTTTAAAGTGTATTTTTATTAGGTTTTAATTTTGTAAATATATTTTTTTGTTCCGTGTGAATTATGAACAATTTCCCATTTATGGTAATGGGCTAAAGGCACTGAAGATATTTAAATGAAAACCAATTTAGATGAAGTTCAGTCTTCAATAAATTAATAAATAATAAATAATCCTTACAGTGTGATTAGTCAAACAAGCATGCAATTGTTCCCATGTGTAAGAATTCAAATGTGGACAGTAACCATTGACCCTTATGACAATTGAAACCATGAACATTTCAGTGTACGGCCAACATATATATTCAAAGAAAATTAATTAAGGATAGTTGGGAACATATCTTTGTCTCACTTCATATGTTACTTTTTATAATTGGTCAAAAAAATACTTAATTATTACATTTTTAATTTAAATATATTTTTTCAATTATCATAAAAAGTGATATATAGAGTGATACACATTTTGGGATATGAAATGTGTTCCCTACTAATAAGAAAATTTGTCTGGTCAGCATTGATAACAAAGTTTTCAGGCATTTTATTGATGATAATGTTTTACAATAGTAAAATATACGCACAATATGTTGTAATATATATATATATATATATATATATATATATATATATAATTATCATGTCCTTCTTTTAAATCTTTGTCTTGGCCCCTAATGTATAGATAATAATGACTAAGCTAACTGGTCAAAAAAGAGACTTTGATTAGTGTTGTCAATATTAATTGGTCAAAGAAGTGATAATATTGATAACTAAAATGTTTATTGCACCCATTGACTCTGCACTTTTATTAACAAATCATATTTCATACTATTTAATGTTACATGAAGCAAAAAAATAAAAAAAATAAAGATTTAAAATTTTCAATTGACTTAATATTTATATATAGTATATAAGTATTAGACTTTTTGTTATAATTCAGAAAATTGTTATAAAAGTGTATCATGTATTGATAGAGTATGAATCCTTTCCATTAATAGATAGATAAATCCTTGAAAAACAAAAGAAAATTTAAAATGTAATGACACATCTATGTATAAATAATAACATTTTTGTCATTAAAAATTTAAGAAAATTGAATTATTTGTCCGTTGATTAATAGAGATTATCCATATTCCTATTGATATCGATAGTAATAAGTAACATGTTCCATATTTTATTTTATTGCAGATTCCTCCGTGACTTGTGTTGGAGGACTGGGTTGCAATTAATTCCAGTTGAATGTGATAGCTCAAACAATTTCAAGATAACAAGAGAAGCTCTTGAAAAAGCTTATAACAAAGCCAAAGAGGATAATATCAATGTGAAGGGTTTGATCATAACAAACCCATCAAACCCTTTAGGCACAACATTAGATAGAGAAACATTGAAGAGCCTAATAACCTTCATCAATGAGAATAACATCCATTTAGTGTGTGATGAAATCTATGCAGCCACTGTTTTCAGTTCCCCTAGCTATGTTAGTGTCTCTGAACTCATTCAAGAAATGGATCAGCCATGCAAAAAGGACCTCATACACATTATTTATAGTTTATCTAAGGACATGGGGTTCCCTGGTTTTAGGGTTGGTATAGTTTATTCATTCAATGATGAAGTTGTTAACTGTGGAAGGAAAATGTCAAGCTTTGGATTAGTCTCCTCACAAACTCAACACATGCTTGCTTCAATGCTCTCAGATGATAGTTTTGTTGATAAGTTTCTTGCTGAGAGTAAAAAAAGGTTGGCAAAGAGGCATAACATTTTCTCAAAGGTGCTTGAAGAGGTTAACATTACAAAGTTTCCAAGCAATGCAGGACTTTTCTGCTGGATGAATTTGAAGAGTTTGTTGAAAGAACAAACATTTGAGGCTGAGATGATGCTATGGCATATGATTATCAATGAGGTGAAGCTTAATGTGTCACCAGGTTCATCCTTCAATTGTTCTGAGCCTGGTTGGTTTAGGGTTTGCTTTGCTAACATGGATGATGAGACAGTAGAAGTTGCACTTACAAGAATAAGAACATTCATTGGGAAAGAAACAAAGAAACCTGAAATGCAAGTTAAAAGTTGGCAAAGAAATCTTCAACTTAGCTTCTCCTCAATTAGAAGGTTTGTTCATGAGACTATTATGTCCCCTCACATGATGTCACCTCATTCACCAATTCCTCAATCACCCCTTGTTAAAGCTACTTGAAGGGACCATATTTACTATAATATAATTACTATTAAATCATTAATTTGGTCCGTAAAAGATAAGGTGTCATAATATTTAGTCTCTCATATATTCAAATGATACTTTTTTATCCTCGATTGTTTGAAATATCGATCAAGTTAGTCTGTTGAGTTCTACTAACTTAATCCACGTTTTGAACATTTAGGGATGAAAATTATCATTTTAAAGCGTGGGGTACTAAATTAGGGACCAAATCATAATTTACTCAAATAACTTCCATTTGAAGCTTTTAGTGTTTGAAATTGTAATGTACCTATGATTTGTTTTCCTCCTAGTAAAAATATTTAGTGTGTGGGTTGTCCTATTTACAAACAGCTAATTGTGATGTATATTAGGGTAACTGAAATGAACTTTATGCAAGAATTAATTCATTTTCTTGTTTTGTAAGAGTATATGTGTTGATAAATAAGTTTCATATCGCTTACTTTATTATCTCGGAAATAGTTTAAATATCTGTTAGACTACTTCTCTCATTGTCAATTGGTTTTGAGATGAAACCTTGACATTGTATCAAAGTCATAGCCCAATTTCTTTCCGGTTTTCATGAGCAAAATATATCATTTAGTTATGGGTCAAATGTCGCATAGTCCGGCAGACTTATATGGAGAGGCGTGTTGGGAAGTAAGTCTTACATCGTCTACTTCATTGTCTCGGGAATGGTTTAAATACCTGTTGAATTACTCCTCTTATTATCAATTAATTTTGAGATGAAACCTTTGACATACCAACACATGCATATATAATAGAATTAGTTATATATTACAATATTGAAGATTGGTTGAATGATTAATTATTAGCAACTATATGTGACATAATATATGCTGCATGCGTGGCTTGAGTAGTTCCATAATATGGAGTGACAAGGTGGAGTACAAATATAATATTCGGTTCATAACATGGCATGTAGCTTTATTCTGTCTCGGTGCATAATCTATACATAAATGGAAAATTCCAAGTACTCTTTTGTGCTGTAGCTCAAGAGTGTGATAATATAATATGAATGGATAAGAACTATATGTGCATATCTACTCATCCATAAGACTATTACTGAGTCAACCACTTCTTATGTATCATGATAGATTTGAGTTCCCTTCCTTTATGGGAAAGACTCATTTGTGCTGAAAGATCACTTGCACCACTTAACATAGTGTAAAAGGATTAGATAAGAGGCTTAGGAAGTGTTCAAATTAGGTAAGAGAGACTCTTGAAAAGTGAGAAAGAAGAGAAGATAAATCAATCTAGTTGGAACTCACAGCATTTGTGTTAGATTCATCATTTTGTTCTGGTTCACCATTGGATCAGGTATAAATGTAAGATGTTAAGTGTCATTTTGAGCTAATTTTAATACCTAAGTTTATGGCAATTTAGAACTTAATCAACTAAAATTAAGGAAAAATACTTGTACAAAATGGAAAAACAGAAATGTTGGCTAAAGTTTACTCCTAAAGTTGTTTTGTAGGCTTAAGTGGACAGAAGGACAAGAAAATCGAAGTTTTGGAGTCAGATCAAGCCACGCTCAACGCCAAATCTGCGCTCAATGCATTTGACAACATCTTATAGTTCCGCTTAGTGCCGATGTCACGCTGAGCGTAGAGAGAGCCACACTCATCACAAAATCTACATTGAGCGCTTGGCCAAAGAATTAAATTTCGTTAACTAATGTCCAGAATACGCTCAACACAGCCCACACGCTCAACGCAGTGGGTAGTGTGCTACGCGCAACAAGTCACGCTCAGCACAACCTGGATTGTCCAAGAGACACGTCTGACCAGCTGGATCCCACGTTCAGTGTAGAGGCAGTGCGCTGAACACAAAAGCCAACATCAAACCACTATATCAAGAGTTTTAGGCCATTTCTTTTATACATATTTTTACTAGTTCGATTTCCTTTTTTATTTGGTCTGATGCCAAAATGAAAAGCTCTATAACCTTTCATGGGTGCTTTATTTTTTTCACCATGTTAAGGGGACACAATGACCCACACCATTGACATATTTTGTATTCCATTGAATTGCATAAATCCAAATTCACTTCTCTAACCAAGAGATCGAATAACCGACCAATAACATTTGGTGTTATTAATCCATAATTGGTACAAGGTTGCAAAAAAATCTAAGTCCAATTATTGAGAAGTTATCTTTCTCCTTGCCGTATGGGACATGTTTTATCTACACTGCTTTTGCTTGAAAGTGACCTCAGACAACTACACCATGCACACTTTACAATTTTTAGTGTTTCATTTGGTGTCACTCTACTCCTTGAGTTATACTTTTTCTTCTAATTATTATTATTGTAAAAAGTAATTTTATTAATAAGGTACCAAAATGTTACACATTAACAAGAGAGAAAGAAAAAAGATGAAAATACATCAATTTAAGGCAAAATTTAAGAGAGGTCTAAAAGACAGTCCAATGATAATGGTTTGTTAGCCAACCATTATAAATCATAGTTGACTGTACGATTTCTCGTTAATCCAAAATTACATTTTCACCTTTATTGAGTCAATAGTGTCTGTTAGAGAAGTATATGTTTTGATTGTTATTATAAAAGTTGACAGGGCAAGGATTGTTATTATAAAAGTTGATAGGGCAAGTTGATTTAATTGGTAACAATATCTTTATTTTAACTAGGAAAATGTTTTCTGTATAGTGAACAACGTTGATATTATATAACATAATGCCCATAAACTATGTTTTATCATCTAGAGTTGTCATGGGAAATGTACATATAATATTGGTATTTGGATGAATAGATTTAAAAAATAAATAATTGTTGTCTTTAGCTGTCTTAGAAATGATGGAGCCATTGACACTTTATCTAAGCTTGCTTAAACAGGAAGAAACAAATGGACCAAACTATATGTGCATCAAAACTCTATTTCCATTAATTGAATAAAAGAATACAAGAAGTCTTCCTTATAAAGAAGAGAAACACACTTAAAACTAACTCTCAACTAATAACAAGAATAACAGAAAAAACAGAAAACCAAATAACAAAATACAAAGACTAGTTATTGAACCAACTCTTGGATAAATTTGACTTTTACATTGACTAAGGATATGGGCCTTCAATTTTTGCCCATGGCTAACCCAAGAAGTAATTTGATCATTTGCTTCATAACAGCCCATAACATGATTTAAAGCCAAACCACTTGACTGAAGATAATTAGCCTGGCCTACATTCTGGTGCATCTGGCCAGCTCTCTGATGCATCTGGCCTACATTCTGGTGCACCTGGTCAGCTCTCTGATGCATCTGGCCTACATCCTGGTGCTCATGGCCTGCACTCTGGTGCACCTGGCCAGCTCTCTGATGCATCTGGCCTACATCCTGGTGCACCTGGCCTGCACTCTGCACTCTGGTGCGCCTGGCCTGCTCTCTGGTGCACGTGGCCTGCACTCTGGTGCATCTGTCCTGATGTTTGATGCATTTGTCTTGGCCATGACTTCACTTCTGACTGAGCACGCCAAGTCATGGCCCTGCTTTGTGGGTCAGCTTGCTGCAACACTTCTGAGTCAGCTTTCTTCAGCATACTTGAGTCATGCACCAAATTCTTCTCATCATGGACAATCCTGCAAAATTGAAGGACATGAGAATGGGTTAATTTTGACAAGCTGTTAAAATAGATTAGGCTAACTCAACAATGGGAAGTGGGAAGTAATTTAAGGAGGATTGTTATATTATATTTCACAAAATAATTCAAAAGAAGGTTGTTAGTCACGAAATATTTGAAGAGGTAATGTAGTTTCTAGTATAATATAATATTGCTATTTCTTTCAAAGAAGTAGTTATATATTAGACACTAATTAAACACTGAGTGTAATATTTATATATTACGTGTAAAAATTTATGTACAGTCACTACATCATTTATCATTTATTTATGTTATATTTAGAGTTAATGAAATATGAATGTAGATGATGCAGTAACAATTGCATTTTTCTCTTAATTAAACAATTAATGATTGAGATTTTATTTAACAAAATAATCAATATTAAATAAAAGTATTACACCTCTCCACTGAAATCCACACTTATATTATCCCATTTACAATTTTATATCACCCACTTTGCACTTGGTGATTCAGTATTTAATTTTAGGTAATATGCTCAGAATTGTGTCCATTCACTATGACATAAAAACTCTAAAAGGATATGTAGTAAAGGCCGATGGAAAAACGTTTAACTTGTTCCCCAAAATAACTATCCATGCAATGTACCGAGTAACCATAATATTTACGTTTTCTATGTGGAATCAATTTCGAATTCCTAATAAAATTTAGTTTTTCTGATATATTGTAAAGTTTACAGATTCTATGTAGTTAGTTTCTAGTCTAAGTGATTACGGTTTAAATCACGAAAACAGTGGAATCGAACCAAACCGCAAAATGTGGTCCGATTCGGTTTCGCGGTTCAGTTCGGTTGCTTTTTTTTAAGGAAATTTATATTCGAATTGGTTCATGTTTTAGAAATTTAGAAACCGTTGGAACTGAACCACATATTAAACAAATAAATAATATGAAATAATGTTGTATTGTTGTTTGAATTATTCAATAAATTTTGTAGTTTAAATTGTTATTGTGTGAATTGTAGTGCTATATATATATATATAACTAAATTGTTATTATGTTAGTGTTATATATATTGCTACTTACTAAATTGCTATATATATATATGTGATATTTTCTCACTGTCATGGTGATTTAGTGATTTGTAACATATCTTCTAACTTTCATGATGCTGGATTTGAAAGTAACATATATCATAATTTATATATGCTACTAACTATAAATTGTAATGATATATATATTACTAAATTGTTATATATGATTCAAATATGTATATGTTAATAACTGTGAATTGTACTATTGCATGTATATCTGGTTATTCGTATCTTTCTTTCTAAATTTCATAATTGTTATATATGTTACTAACAATAATTATGACTTTCAAATTTTGTAATGATAGTAATAGTAGTGTTTTTCCTTTCATGAACAAAGAATGTTTCTTGTAGTACATTTTAAATTTTCAGTTGATGTAAAAAATTACAAAAAAGATCATGAGAATCGTGAAACTGAACCAAAACAAATCATTCATGAGTGATTCGGTTCTTGCAATAAAATTTGCGATTAATTGAAGTAAACCAAACTATATCTTTATGTTCGGTTCGGTCAATGAATTGCATAAAAAACGAACCACCTCTACTTTTGGGAAGTTGGCTAAGCATGCCTTATATATATATATATAGGGAGGGATCCACTTACTCCAAAAAACACTTACTCTTCATCTTAGTCATCCAATCTTGAAAAATTCAATGGTTTAGATGTACTCACTAATTCAAACCATTGGATTTCCAAGAATGAATGGTCATGATGTGGAGTAAGTGTTTTTCCACTTACTCTTGGAGTAAGTGGATCCCTATATAGACCGGTAACAGTTTTAGAATCACATATAAATGGTTAGAATTAAAAGTTAGTTATTGGTCATATAATCATTTAGAAAAAGTTATGTACACTTATATTGACCATTTAAATAAAATTTCAAGAATTGTTCTGATTTTTTATAATAATAATTATTATGAGTTGATTGACGTCATTTATATACATTGCTTATAAAAAATTAAATCATACTCATTTGAAGCTGAAGAACGTTAATTGGGGGAACTAGTTGGGAAGGCCTAGTGTGGCACACTATTAGAACTTATTAATTGCCAAGGCCTAATTATGGACTTTAATGATCATGCCAAAGGTATTAATTTATATCTTCCCTCTTTAAATTTAATTAAAGATAGAAAAATGTACGAAAAGTATATCAATTTTATATACTGACATTGTATCATCAATCATTTATGTTTAATCATTATTGTATATCAAAAAATAATGATCGATAATATACTAAGTGTATATTAGAGTTTTTTTTTGTAAACATGAGTCGAATCCAAACCTTACTTAAATAAAATCGATATATATTCAATTGATTTGATGACATAATTCAATTACTTGATCTTAAACTATTAAATTAATTATCATGTTTTGTCATTTTCTTAATAAAAGATACTGTCTTATTAGAGCTAACCAAGATTTTTCAATGTTAACTTGGACTGTATCCAAATTTACACTAAACAAGAAGAAATTCTAAATTTTAATGCCCAGACACAACTACTACTGCAGTGATAATAGTGTAGCACAATATTGGAACATTATGGATAAGAATTCTTCCATGGATAGAGATCACCCGTCCCAAACGGTTCCCGATCCATGTCCCGAACCAATAAGAATCTCACTTTTTGATTTTTAAAAATTTCTTTTATTTATATGATAATATATCATTGGTCCGGGACATGGAATGAGATACCGTTCGGAACAGGTGATCCCCATCCTTGTGCATGCTCTTGAAGTGTGTATCCGCAAGTTAGCTCCATTTATATCTTGCACGCATATTCAACATTGACAAGATGCATTTACCACTAATGTTCCCTTCAAGCATAAAGGTAACTAATAAGAGAGAAAAAGAAAATTATATGCATTAAAAGAAGAAAAGTAATAATGGAGAATAATGATATCCATTTTTTGGGTATTCAAGAAACAAAATGGGAGTTGTGTGAGTTGAAGTATTGTTATGGGCTTTAGGGGAATTTAGAATGTAATTGTGTATTTATCCCATCTATTGGTCGAGCAATGGGTATTTTGAAAAGTATATATGCACTACAGCGGGTATTTTGAGTATTTAACTATTGGGACCGGTTTACCGGTTAAATCGGCTGACACACACCAATTTTTACAACACTAGTCACTATGTTTTGAATGCAACCTTAAAATGGAATGAAAATCAAAGCTAAATTTCTTTCAAGTTTTTATGGGCCAAAAAATGTTATTTAATCGTACATCAAATATAACTCTTCATCTTATCTCACAAACTTCTTTTGAGAGGTA